CTGCCCGCAGCCTCTGCAGCACTGGTTCGATTCCCGGCTGCTCCCCGGCCACCAGAGGAGGGTCCCGCATGGCGCGCAGACCTCTCCTGCCGCCCGCTGCTCCCCTCATCAGTGTACTTCGTCCTTCTGCCTGTTCTGCTCTCCGGCTCTGGCTCTGGTGAATTCTCTCACCCTCCCGCGCTTCTGACTGTACCCAGTGCTTGTATAAATAAATACATAAATCTTAAAATAAAAAAAAAAAAAGCATAGGAAGCAGGTTAGAGTCACTTTCAGATAAGGATTCTTATTTTCTGGCTATATCAGGGATGTAATTTGTCTAAAATTAAAATTAAACTGAGCGCAAACTTAAGAACATTATTAAATGCCCACACATTTTAAATAGCTTTTTCAGAGAAAAATTTGATATGACACTTAAGCATTCTACTGTTTCCCCATCAGTGAGGTATTTTGTTTATTGCCTAACAATTCAGAATTCAATTCAATTCAAAAATGAAATTACTAGCATTCATTGGGTTATCTGATTGCCATGCTGCTTCTTTGAACAAAGTTTGTTGCTGATCAGTGCAACTTTTTATCTTATTTCCTTTTACCAAAGAAACCACATACATGACCAAACAAAAAACCAAAACACTGTGCTCCCAGTTCACCTTGGCTCTTGCAAGGAGTTACTACTTTTAAATCATGGTTTTAATTCAGGTATTGCTCCCCATCCTAAGAATGAGAATTTAATTACTACTACTCATCCCACCTTTTTACTCCCAGTTTTGATGGAAAATTAAAAATAATAATAGCTATAACTTTATAGCTTAAAGAAACCTAAGACTATTTAACACAGCATTGGGTTTCTCTCCATGAAAATCCTTTCCCTCCCACCCCCATTTCTGACTTACTTTTTTTAAAAAAAATGATTGATTGATTTATGCATATAAGAGCTGGGGTGCAGGCCAGAGATGCCAGGGGTGAGAGGATCCCCAGAGATTGAGTTGGTAACAGAACAGGTAGATGCACTGAAATACACTGCTGAGGGGAGCAATGGGTGAGACAGGAGAGGTCACGTGGGTCACCTCCTTGACAAGGGCTGGAACTCGTGCTGCGGTGGCTGCAGATAGCTTTTCGGTGCTGTGTCCTAACCTCTTGCACCACCAGGGAGGCCCCATTTCTGACTTACTTCTGTCTGCTATACATTTACTTTTACATTGTCGAGGTTGATTTAATTTATATACTTTCTTCCATGTTTCATCTACTATATAGTTAATTCTAAAGGCTGGGTACCAATAAGCCAGATTTGCAATGTTTTAAAAATGTAAGGGGGCCAGACCTCCTTGGTGACATAGGGGTTAAGTCTCAGAGCTAGCACCACTACAAGCCTATTTCATACCCAGCCAGGGAGCTAACCCTCATATGGCACAGACCTCTCCCTCTTCTCCCCTCAGCAGTGTATTTCAGTCAATTCGCCTGTTCTGCTCCCCATTCTGTCTTTGGTAAATCCTCTTAACCTTCCCCCACCCCCACCTCTGGCCTACACCCTAGTTCTTCTATACATAATTAAATCTCTTTTTTAAAAAAACTAAACAGGGGGGCCTCCCCGGTGGCACAGCGGTTGAGCGCTGGGCTGCGAAGCTGCCCTTAGCCTTTGCACCCCCGGTTCGATCCCCGGCCGCCGGGCGAGGGTCCCACATGGCGCGCAGACCTCTCCTGCCGCCCGCTGCTCCTCTCAGCAGTGTACTTCGGTCCTTCTGCCTGCTCTGCTCCCCACTCTGACTCTGGTGAATTCTCTCACCCTCCTCCTCTGACGGTACCCAGCGCTTGTATAAATAAATAAATAAATCTTTTAAAAAAAAAACAAAAACTAAACAGGGCCCAATTCTTAAGTGTGAAAACCACTGCTGCGTCCTCTAATACCTAACTTTGAAAAAAAGAAAACTGAAAAGCACACTATACAATTCAGAATTTGAACAATAGATTTGTCATAAAAAACCCAAACTATCCAGATTAATAAAAAAAAAATTAATTGGTATGTACTCATCCAAATTACATACAACTTGCTTTAGATGGTTCAAGTATTAACTTTCATTATTTGAACCTGGCTGCTGCATTGTATTAGGAAAAGACCATATGACCCATGCTAGAAATAGGCTTGGTGAAAATCCCCTCTCCGTGGAAACCTGACAGGGTTTTCTTTCCTTCAGGGAAATGAGTTTCTTCAAACCAAGATAATAAAGTTTAAAAGATAGCACACTCAATCATAACTGACAATGTCTGCTGGGAAGGTCTGAACATTTTGGCTTCAGAAAGACTGTAATAGGCCCTTGACATTTCAAGGTCTAAGTCCCAAGATCTTTGACCAAATTCAACAATCTTCCTGGACAACTTTACACAGGCTCTTGGCTTTCTTCAGAATTACATTTCATCTTGTGTCATAGTTTCTTACACATACTTTCAAGCCCATGTTATTAAAAAGAGAAATAACTCTTTTTAACTCCTCTCACCTAGTGGCCATTGTCTAAGTTCCCTAGGGCTGTCATAACAAAGCACTACAAACTGGGGAGCTTACACCACAGAAGTTCATGGTCTCACAGTTCTAGAGGCTAGAAGTTCAACATCATAGTGTTGGAAAGGTTGGCTCCTTCTGAGCGCCATGAAGGAATCTAATCACTCCTTCTCTCCTAGCTTCTGGTGGCTTACTGGCCTATCTTCAGTATTCCTTGACTTCTAGAAACATCACCTTGATCTCTGCTCTCTTTTTCAAATGATGTTCTTCCTGTGTGCATGTCTATGCTCAAATTTCTCCTTTTTACAAGGACATCTGCCATAATGGAATGTGCCCGCCAAGATGACCTCATCTTCATTATATATCTGCACCAACCCTATATCTAAATATAAGGGGCACATCTTTTATTGAGTTAGGACTTGAACATATGCATTTGGGGGAAGCACAAACCAACACACAGCAGCCATTTTTCACATATTTATAAAATTTTACATCTTCCAATCACTATGTACTGCAGAATCTCTTGTGCCTATAACAGAACACGGCAAACAGGCACTTAATAAATATTTGTTGAATAAATAAATGAGACTGCTGAGGAAAAATGGATGCTGAGGGGTTGGCTAGGTTAAATCATTATTTGAGTAATACCATTCTGCATGGAATTTAGCAAGAATTAAGATTGTGCCTACCAAGGGACTATGGGGATGGTACATGGGTAAACTGGTGGTGGGGATTTCACAGGGACTATAACTGAAATGAGAAAGCATACATTGTACAAAAATGAAGAACGATGTAAAAAAATACATAAAATAAAAGTTAAAAAAAAAAAGATTGTGCCTGGAAAAAACAGCAAAATACTACATATTCAACAGGCCCTTAAAGTTCATACTCACAAATGCTAAAACTCATAAATGTCAAAACCTAATAACAATTATACATACTTTTAATAATGATTTTTCTTGAGGAAAAAAATAAGAGAAGAAAGTATCAGAAATGGGGAAGCAAATGATTTCAGTTTAAATAAGTCAAAAACTGCAGTATTAGAAAAAGCAAAGGTCACTGAGTAAAATATCAGGCCAATATGTTTAATGGTCTATGGGCAATCCATTGCTACAACACTAAATCAGGTGATTCCTTGTTATGTCTTATTTTAATAACTAAACCTCTTTGGACAGGTCCAAGACAAATTGTATATGATAGCAAAAAACAAGCTTCTATTCTTTCTACAATAACATTTTCCAACATACCCTCCCAACAGATAAAGCCCACATAACTAGGAATTGAAGGTATTTTCTATTCTCCTAATCATCTCATTCAAATCATATCACCATGAATTTCCTGAATTTGTGGCTTTAAAATACTGTATTACTATAAACTTTAAATTCCAGACCCAGATAGGCCTATATTCATTTCAGCAGAAGCATCTTGAAATGTAGAATTATCATCTTCAATTTCCTTCAGTCATTTATTGTAGCTGCCAAACTGAAATGGTGCACCTTCAAGGCAACACTAAACTGACAGCAAATAATAAAAGAGTCTCTTAAATGTTTCATTTATAAAAGCTTATTTTTTCCCACCATCAAATTTTGTATACTGTCTGAAATATCACTTTACAAAATTGACATCTTGCATGCAGTTATTCTGCCATGATACATTTGCTAAACTTCAAGGTTAGTTGAGGGGGGAAAGGGGAGCATCTTTATTTAACCTTCTGTGAACAGATAAGCAACACAGAGCTAGGCTGATTTTGGTCTAGGGCCTTTTGGGTAGAGCTAGGTGGTACAGAATTAAAATTAAACCTCAATTGCCAACAGACATCACTATAGCTATCCCCTTTTCTGGATAGCTTTACTAATCTTCTGGGCTATATTAAAAATTACGCCATAAAATAAACACTTTTAAAAGGCACATTAAGCCACGGAGTGGCTCCAAAGAGTAGTCTGACAGCTCACTCTGACAGGAAAATAAAACTGCAAACCAAAAACATTCAAAGTATTTTCTTGAAATCCTGCTCACACACAATAGCAAATTAATCTAGAAGAGCAAATCTATAGAATTCTATAATAGGGGCCTCCCCTGGTGGCGCCGCAGTTGAGCACTGGGCTGCGAGGTTGCCCGCAGCCTCTGCAGCACCGGTTCGATCCCCGGCCGCCGGCAAGGGTCCCACATGGCGTGCAGACCTCTCCTGCCGCCCGCTGCTCCCCTCAGCAGTGTATTTCATCAGTCTGCCTATTCTGTTCCCGCTCTGGCTCTGGTGAATTCTCTCACCCTCCCACGCTTCTGACTATACCCAGTGCTTGTATCAATAAATAAATAAATAAAATCTTTTAAAAAAAAAAAGAATTCTATAATAAAGTTCTATATACTTTTCCTCTTAACATAATTGTTAACGACAACTATAACAAACTAATACATGAAGTAACAAAAATATGGTTTGTGTTTCCACAATTGAAGTATTTAGACCATGTAAAGAAAAAGAAATGTTTTTAATAGTAAACTACATCCAAATCACATTCATTAAATAAGTTGCTATGGAGGTCATCTGGTAAAAGAGCCACTGAATTTATCTGAGCAAGTTTACTAAACAATGTAATCGAGGGAGATAACCAGATAACAACACTTCTTTTTCTTCCCTTTACATACCCAGTTTAGCTATTACATGAAGGTTCAGACACAGCTCAAATCCTTCTCAGTTAACATCACTTGGTAAAAGCAGAATTTCTGATAACTCTATCATAAGCTATGTGATTCAATTCCCAAAGCAACTTTTGTTTTCAATGACCTACTTAAAAAAGTATCTACAATCAATACATTATCTGTTTTTCAAGTATTTCCTACATTTCTTGTCAATTTTAAAAGCCTTATTTAGAAATAATACCAACCCTTTTCTAAAAGCTAAATAGAACAATCTTTTAATCTGCTGGGTATCTTAAAAACCAATCAACTTGACATAACCTCCTAATTCCCAGAATGTAAACCATAATTCAAGCTTCAATTTTCTTCTTAACATATTCTACTTTATTAAAATGAATTCTCATCCTGCAACTATGAACAAGAAGAAAATTGTACTTAAAATATTATTAAAAGACAAAATCTCATTATTTAGTATTAGATTAACAGTCTATAATTCTAATGTTAAAAATATCTATAACTATAACCTCTCCAATTTGTTAATTCCCAAAGAGATTAATAAAAGATGTAATTAACATCTAAACTTAGAGCAGACTATCATTTGGAACAGACTATGTTAACAATAACTGTACCAGAGTCAAACAGATCAACCCATCACCCTTTATGGTTCTAAGGTTAATGAACACAATTTGTCATAAATTTTCCGGTAACTCTGGGAAAAAAAATATGAATAAAAAAGAGGTACTTTTTGCATAACATTTTTATTTTCTTTTCTTAGAATAAAGGCTGGAGTTATCTTATTTGCAACCTAGCACAGTATTTGTCAATGTAGATCTCATAAAATATTTTTGAAGTAAATAAACAACAAATAAGCAACTCAATGTACTACTATTACTCAGCTCCTTATCCACATGCTAGATTTTAAATTATATATAATAAAACGAATGCACTTAAACTTTTTTATTTCTACCAGTAAAGACTGAAAGAACTATTCACCTAAGAATTTCCAATTTAATAGAATGCTGAATTGAACTTTCACAAACCAATAATTTAGCTAATGATTTTCTGGAACTGCATGACATTTTTCACTTAACTTTTCTTTATGAAATTAGAACATATACAAAAACACAAGTTATAAAAGTATCTTTGTAATAAATAACACAAGGCTACATACACATAAACTTGATTTAATAACATTTACTTCTCTCTGGAAGATGTTACTATTTTAAAAAACTAGAAATTAGGATGAAGGTGAAAAAAGGAGTAAAAATAACTATAAATGTTCTTCCACTTCAAAAATTGTCTGACATCTGAGCCAAGACTCTCTGCATCTATCAGTGACTTCCTCTTCATGCATCATAGAAAGAGTTCAACATATTTTACAAAATCCATTACATTTTAAGACCATTTCCAATATATGCTACTATAAATCAAAGAACCCATTTATTCAAGGTTACTTATGGAGAATTAATCATGCAGAAAATTTTAACAACTTCTTTTTCAAAAATTACTGTACTTGGCATTCTTATACATAATGGTGTGGATTCAAAGACAGACAGCACTGAAGGCATATAATTAAAATTGTGAACTTAAGACATTTAGAATAGTCTTTAAGTATGCAACAAACATTCCAGAAAAATAAATCAGAATATAAACATAACACATCTCCTTTGAATTACAGCGTAAATGGTATTACATAAGAAAGTTGTTCCAAAATACTTGTACATACTTGAGACTGCCTCAAAAATTCATGAATTTTTCTAATGATTTCTAAAAGCTATCTTCCTCTTTTCCAGGACAAATTTACTCAAAGGAGAAAAGTAAATAGGTAAGCTACATATTTATAGCTTTTATTGATAGGATACAGCCATTTCACCAAAATTCAGCTGTCAATATACAATCTCATTTCCCATCTTAACGAGAAAATATATTACTTTAAATGGTATACAGAGGCAAAGTGTCAAGAATTAAATAACCTTAAAAGTTTTAATTTCACAGTTCAAATATCAAAAAAGCAGTAAATCCCCAAAACATGAAAACATGATGAAATAACTAAATAGAAAAAAAAAGACATTTAAGTCATTTCATTCTTTCTTATTATATAGTGAAAACATGTATTTACAACTTCAGTCTTTAGCAAACTTCATAAAGTTTAAAATATTCATTTAAAATAGACAAATGTTTACAAAGAACATTTAACTTAAATTCCACAGTTGGCTATAAAATGGTACTTATGAAGATTGACCTAGATGAGGAAATAGTCTCATCAAGAGCAATGGTAAAATACAAATATAAAATATACCACGATGTTTAAAAACCTCAGTGTTTTATAGGAAAATCAATAAAGATAACTTAGCTCTTTCTGGGGGGGAAAGTATCATTTCAAATTTAAAATGTAAATTTTACATATGAATTCAATTAGAAATATATTTAAACCTTATCCTGCCACATAATCATCATCTATTTTGTGGAAAACAGCAACAACCAAAAAATGATGTCCTTTTTTTGAATATGTGTACATCAAAACCAAAAGGTTAATTTTTGCTTTTCCCTTTATTGGCAACTTTTGGTGCATTTTTAGGTTTTGGCTCCCAAAGGGCATTTTTCACAAATCTTGAAGCTGCACCTTTATCCAGCTTGCCAGCTTTTTTCTTGTCTGTTATCTCCTTGACTCTGTTCATGTACACTCTGATTCTTTCCTTAAAAATAAAAAATAAAAAAAAAGCAATAGATTTACTAAGCCGTTCACTAACACTAAGTTTTATTATACTACACTTCAGTGAAATTCAGTAGCTATGTATTTATTGCCAACTGAGTGATGCTAGTAAGTGCAAGTGAATAAGATACACAACACACACCCTACGATCTCCTGTAGTTCAATCTTGGGGATACAAAGTCATTTCAGAAGTGTTTTCAGAGTTTTAAAACAGGAAGAACTAGACAAAGACATCACTTCAGAGATAAACATTAAATTGTTTATATGTGCTTTTTTAATTTAGCATTAACTGAAGTACACATATTAACTCTTATACATCTTAAATTTATATTCTAAAACAAAGTTCTCAGATACTTGCAACACACAAACTAAACTCTCCTGAAATCCTTCTACACAGGAAACAGATGAAGCAGTACTTAACTTTTTTTTACTATTACCACCTAAGCGTCACAATTAAAATAAATAGAATAAAAATACAAAATCCTTTATTCAATTTCATAGTTTTGATTGACAAGCACACTCATTTTCTAGTGAAATACACAGTCGTAATCAGACTGCAAGGTGAGAATCATAATAGGTTGCCATACCACTTTGAATCTTCTGAGACCATTAATCAGAACAAAGGTCTATTCTATACTTCAGTTGGAGAAATAAAGATGATGAGAACCGTAAAATAACATAAATGATCACTGATTAAAATCAAGTTTCATTAATCAAAATAGTTATATAAACATGCACAGAAAAATGCAGAATCTCACACTATCTTAATGATAAAAGACGAACAACTCTGCTCAAAATCCTCCCTCTATTTCTCTCAAAGTAAAAACCGAAGTACTCCCAATACTCACTCACCCCAACCCTACCTGGAATAATCTTTCCTCAAAGATCCACACAGCAACTATCTCTCCTCTTTCCAGCCTGCTCAAATGTTAATCTTGTTATAGGCACAGCCTTTACCATTTAAAATGGCAATCCTATTCAAGAGCTCCAAACTCCCTTACCCTGATATATTTTTTTTCTTTTTCCCCATAACATATAACTTCCTAACATATTTATTCTTGTTTGCTATATTATATTTACTGTTTGTCTCCCTCCACTAGGTAACTCCACTAGGTAGTCTGACATCTGCCACAAAGGCAGGGATATTTATCAGCTTTAGTCACTAAGAAATCATCCTGGAATGACTTGGAAATAATTCCTGGTACTTAGTAGGCACTCCAATATTTGTTAATGAATAAATTGATTTCAATTTATTGATAGAATTTCAAAGCCTTATGCATGGCAAACAGGTTTCCTATCAAACATTAATGCTATGCTCAATTAGTGTCTGTCACAGAGACAAAAAAAGGGAATAGATTTATGTGTGCTTTTATTTGCCAACCCTTGTTCAGAATATGAATGTACTCCTCCATAAACTGTGTTCTGAGGGAGAAAGAAGAAATAATTTTATCCTTTTCCAATGACAGAATCAAATATTAAAATACTCCAAATAACTTTGTTTTAAAGAAAAAAGGATGGATTTTATAAATGTAAAGTCTGTATTAGAAAGTTGAAAAGAGATGACACAATGCACATGTCTTAATATTTAAAGTCAGTATCTCCAGTTAAATCAAGATCTGTGTATCATATAGCTGTATATTTTTGCTTTAAGTATCTTTCACAATTTCTGTATTTAAAATAAATTCATTTCCCCCCCAGGAACTTCAAAAGAAAAAGAGGTCTTAGTCAATATGTTAAAAAAAAATGAAGACAACAGATATGGCTTACTCATTTTTTTTCATAATAAATGACCAAATACTTTAGTAAGTTGTAAATAATATACATATCAAGTATCATAAGGCTTGAGAATAACAGTGTCAAGTAGCATTACACATATATATTTACCTTATATTTTATAAACACAAAGAATAAATTTATTAATATTCTTATTCATAAAGGCAAGTCAAAAAGGTAACCATAAGTAAGATTTCTAATTTTTCTCTTTCAAATTGAATGATTTAATTTTTGAAGTCAGCAAAAACTCCAAGATACCAGACCTTATATACTGTACTTATACATCCAAATGGAATACAAAGACAAACCTAAAAGATTTATTACAGGTTGTAAATATGTCACTAATGCAGAATTACTGGACAGTACACATACAACTGGTGCCAAAAAAGCTTTTAGCTTTGTTGCTGAACTGGATTCTTTACTGCTGAGAAAATGAATTAATGGAGGAATTGAAAAGGTGGGGGAGAAACTTTCCCGTCTTTGCTAGTAAATCAACTAGAATATACTTTTAAGAATTGTGTAAGAGTTTAAAATAAGAAGAAGAAAAAAGGTGGTGGGGAGTGGAGATTGTAGAGATGAACAGGATTTCAAGAATTTATAGGAAAAATTATATGAAAGTTATAAATAATTACTAGAATCATTGCATTTTTCCCATTCAGAGGTTTATATAATAAATGGAACACCAACTCTCTGACAAAGGTAAGAGAAAGAAAAACTAAAGACATAAGGAAATCTTGCTCACTTTCATAATTTCAACTGTAAATAATTTTGTTCTCTACAACTAGTATGATAAAAGTCCTTTAGTAGGTAATTTAAACTTTAGAAAAATACAATGAACAAACATGCAAACTAAAAAAAAAAAATTCACTGATATCTTACCAATTCTTGCTTCACTGGATGTTCTTTAGGATTAACTCCCTGAGTAGCCAAATAAACTATAAGAGAAAGATTGCGTGGAGTAAAATGGTATACGTATTAATTAGGAATATTAATTTTAAAAACTCTAGTTACCAAAAAAAAGTAACACAAATGATTAAATATTTTATTTAACTTCAACTTTTATTATTCAACTTCTCTATATATATTAAAATTTGTGGTTATAGGCATCTGATATTCTTCTTTAAAAGAATTAAATAACTTAAAATTACCACAAAACATAATTGCATATAAATGGCTACTATTTAAAAAATAAATCACTTTTGACACTAAAAATAATTTGCTTTGTAATTAATTCCAAAGTCATATACATACCCCAAAACATTGAATTTAATGTGTAAGCAGAAACTAAATCCACTTTTGCTTGTTCAAGTGGGTCCAACTATTAAGGAAAAAAAGAAATACACACAAACTTTGAGCACCATCAAATAATATTTTAAACTTTGACCAAACACAATGTATCAAGGAAATGTCCCCCCCTCAACCCACTTCCAATAATCCAATAACCAATGATCTGGATATAATTTGCAAAAAGAAGTTTTGTTTACCAGTGATTTCTACCCACAAATTTTCACTTCAGGGTACCATCTTCAGTTAGGCAAGGAATGTGTATAATCTAAGAAAAATTCTTTTGAATTATTTTAATTTCAAGAGTTACAATCTGGGCTTTGCATATGTCAAAAGTAATTTATCAATGTAAACAGTGTACATGAAGCATTTATGTATCAGAAGCAGGCTAGAATGCTTAGGCAATACCAAAGACAGAAGAAACATAATGAGATTTGTTTTAGACTGTCAAAGTCAATTTAGTGTTTTTGTCCTATAGGGTTTCCAGAAACCAGAAACCTTGATAACATCACTGTAATACTTAAAAGGTCAAAGAAAGAGTCTGTCAAAAGGAACGCTGTGAGTGCTCCTTTTTTTTCCAAAACCAAGTAAAAATGAAAATATTGCTAGGAAGTGTTTCCTAATGTTGGAGTTTTGTTTTGCTCCCTGAAACTACCCAAACACTTGTAAAATTGAAAAAGAGAAAGGCACATAGCATTAATCTATTCCTACTCCTATATTTTTCATAAAATAGCAATCTGATATATGAATTATTTTTTAAAATTCCATTTTTAAAATACCTTCTGTAATAACTCATTTCTAGAAACAGACATCATGGTCTTCAGCATGTCATCCACACCACCAATGGAATTCTCAAATGTTGATAAATACTCATGAATTTCTACTGGATAATCTTCGTTAATTTCTTCACCTGCCATTGTAGCCAGCTGGAAAAGAAATAAAATCTTAGAATTCATCTTATGGAAAGATTGCTATTTAGTTTACAAAAAAAAAAAAATCAACAGTCATGTCATGTACTTCAAAAGTGCTATGAGAGTTAAAACCTGAACATAATTAAACAAATCTTTTAAGACTACAGTTCTAGAACTATCTAACTACTCAAGGCCACTAATGTTACACATATCAAACCCTCAAAGCTTTTCAAGCACTAAAGATGTGACCATCAAACATGAAATAACAACAATCTAAATGCTACATTTAAAAAATTTTGTTTATATTAAAGACCAACCAACACAAAATAAGTCTAATGCTGGAAAAAAAAAAAATGACAAGCAAAGAAACTTTTAAAATACCTTCTGCAACAACTCATTTCTAGAAACAGACATCATGGTCTTCAGCATGTCATCCACACCAACAACAGAATTCTTTTTTTTGAAAAATTACACATTCTAAATTTATGTGTTGATCTAGCAGCACAGTATATTAAATTAAAAAAATTAGGAATTCTAGGTCTGAAATATGATTACTTCTCACTAAAACCTTTTCAGGTCTATATATATTCCTTAAGCTTCTTTAAAATATTAATAAGAAATTCAAAGAGTTCATAAATCACATAAAGTCTGTAAGCAGAAAAGAGGAAACTTGGGAGAAATAAACTATATGGTTTTCATTTAGTATATAGCATATCCTGACAGCTCATTCTTTTAAAATTCACATTTATATCATATTAATAGCTATATAAGAAAAAGCAAAATCCATGTCAATGCACTTAATATGGTAACTAAGACCAAATTCAGAAGCAATTCCAAGCCATATGTACCATTTTTAGGTTTAATTTTTTTTTATTAGCTGAAAATAATTCTTTCAGTACATAGCTAAAGAGAATAGCAAGAAAGTATAACAGCAAATAGAAATCAAGTAAAGAGATGTGGGCTTTCCATCAGACTTGATCTCTGATTTTGCCACCTTAGATAAATCACTGAATCTCTCTGGACCTGAAAAAACCTCATCCATAAAAGAAGGCAGTAGGCCTAATGATTTGTAAAGTCCCTTATAGTCCTAAAGCTTATGACTATGTCATTTAAATTTTAGTAGTACTACTTGACTATTTAATCACAATATATCAACATTCTATTCAACAAATCTACTGCAATGAGACATCTGATTTCATTAAAAAAAAAAAAAATGAAGCCCATCTGATTATCACTACTTACACTATAAAAGTACTGCCCAACTACTGAGTAGCCAGTAATTATAAAAAGGACTATAAAAGAAAAGCAAACAGGAAAGAACTGCTACTCGCTATTCAAAAGGCTAACAGAAAATATCTATTTGCCTCTCATCCCTCCCAAAATCTCTCCAAATAACAGAAAAATAGAAAAAGGTTCATAGGAATGTGGGAAACCAAGAAAGCAACAGACCCCCAGCAGACCTCAAAAGCAGAAATTGTTGTAAGCTAAAGAGTAAATGGGTCAGAATGACAGGAAACAGTCAAGGAGTCTGCAATCCTTTAAAAACATAAGAATCATCTAGGAATAACCCCCAAAATGAAAGTCAGTAAAAGCTAAGCCATTAAGGCTGGAAACAACTAAACCACCATCTGTGAAAGGTGGTAGCAGCACCTGCTACTGGATAGAGGTGTAAGTACAAGGGATATATTGCAAATATACACAAGACTTAGTTTTTCTTCTCTTGAGGCAGAATTTTAAACCTATAAATGTGAAAATTTGGATGAAAGAATGAGATGCTGTAGAAAAAAAACAAAAGAAAAAAAATTAACCTAAAAAGAAGTACATCAACCAAACAGACTATTACTCACAGAAAAATAAGAGTCAAAGATCCATCCTTCAAAATGTCTCCAAGCCTAGAAGATTTTATAGGTCATTTCTTTCAAAATTTCAAGTAATAGTTAACTCCTATGGTAGTTAACCATTTAAGAACAAAGTAATGGAAAACCTAAATACCGCTTTCATAACATACAAAAAAATAAACTCCAAATGAATTTTAAAAATGTATTATGTGTTAAAATATTTACATAACCCAAATGAAATCCAAAAGCTATGAAAGGAAATAGCTGATAGAGCTAACAATACAAAAAATTAAAAATCATCTATACGGTAGAAGTATACCATAAACAAAGTTAAGAGGCAAAAAAAAAGAAAATATTTGCCAAAATAAAACATAGAATGATATAGAGCTCCTACAAAGCAGTACAACAAATTAAAGTAATGAAGCTCTCAACCATGAAATTGGCAATAACTTCCAATATTAGTAAAGTTTGATATCAGCAAGCATACTTTACAGGTGAAACCGGTAAACTGGTAGGTTTAAATGCACACACACTTTGACTCAAGAACTCCCTTTAAGAATCTAGTCTACACAAATCCTTATAAAAGTCACCACTTAACAATACAGACACATTCTTTTTTTATTATATTATTCTTATTGAGGTAACAATGGTTTATAACACTGCATATAATTTGGGGGTATAGATTCACACCTCTTCAGATGTATAACGTACATCTGTTCTAACATACAAATCTGTCGTTTGTTCACCACCAAAGGACCCATAATCCTCCACCATAGTACATTTGGCCCCCTCCCCTCTTTGCTTCCCTCACCCAACCCCCATTTTGGTAGCTTCAGTTCTACAGTCAGATTTCTAGGGTTTGTTTGGTTTAGTTTTTCTGTTCCTTTGTTTTGTTTTTCTATATTCCACATAAGTAAATTATCCAGTATTTTCCTTTCTCCTCCTGACTTATTTTGCTGAGCATAACTATCTCCAGTTCCATCCATGTTGTCACAAATGGGAAAATTTCATCTTTTTTAATAGCTAAATGTTCCTTTGTATAATCTACATCTTCTTAATCCACTCATCTGTACTGCACTTGTTTCCATACTTGGCTACTCTAAGTAGTGCTGCAATGAACATAGGAGAGCATATAGCCTTCTATTTGTGTTTTTGCCTCTTTTGGATGGATACTAGGAGTGGGATTGCTGGGTGGTAAGGGAGATATACTTTTTTTAATTTTGAGAAACCTCCATACTCTTTCCCACAGGGCTACCCCAGTCTATTGATATATTCGCACCAATCGTATATGATGGTATCCTTTTTCTCCACATTCTTGCTAGCATTTTTTTTCTTGTTCTTTTTGATATGGGCCATTCTCACAGGTGTCAGGTAGTGATTACCTCATTGTGGTTTTGGTTTGCATTTCTCTGATGACAAGTCATCATTTGATGTACATTTTTTCACGTGTATGTCTACTTTGGAAAAGTGTCTAGTTAGCTCTTCTGCCCAATTTTAATTGGGCTGTTTCTCTTTGTTGAGTTGTAGCAATGGAGATCTATTCTAAGGAAAGCACACTCAAGTGATTCTGTCATTGTATGAATGCAACAGATTATAACTACACAGCCCTAGATAGTATAGCTTATACACAACTAGGCAATACCACAGAACCTACTGGGACCACCTTCTTGCATGCTGTCCCTCACTGAGCAATACATGATTATATATGCATATAAATTTATGTTTGCACTCTTCATACTCTTCTCTGAATTTCCCCCACTTTCTCTTGGATCAATTTTTCCCAGTTGATTCATCACCTTGAATTTAAAACATTTTATTTCTCCATCTAAGACCAGAACAAAAAGAAACATTTTGACCTCATATCTCCCTTTAGCTCAAGTCCTATTTCCTATCTCCATTTTAGAAAAAACACCCCAAAATATTTGCTTACATTAACACTCCCATTTCATCCCTTTCATTCTTTCTTGAATCTACTACAATCAGGCCCCCTACTTCTCATTCAAAATTGCTCTCGCCCAGGTTACCAACACAATCACACTGTTAAATTCAATGATTAATTTTCAGTTCTCACCATTTGTCATTGTTGACTCCCTTTGTTTTCAGGGCATCACATTTTCTTGGTTTCCCTCCTACCTCACTGGATGATTTCTAGGTCCCTTTTGGTGTACCATTGTCATCTGCCCCATCTCTTACGTTTGAAGTGCCCCAGGGCTGTCCTTGATTCTTTTTTCTTCTCTAATTTCTTCCTAGGTAAGCTGGGACTTTACATTGCATTAATAAACTGATGACTCCCAGGTTTGTAACTCCAACCCTAACCTCCCCAATGACCTCCAAATTTTTATTTCCAACTGCTTACTTCCACCTCTGGCAGAATGTTAATAGAGTCTCAAAATAGAGCCCAAAGCCAAATTCCTAATCTTAACTAAGGAAGTCTTCCCTGTCTCATTTTATGGCAACTCCAGCTTTCTAATCATTCAGATCTAAAATTACTGAGTGGTTCTTGACTTCTCTCGCACCCTATCTTTAAAACATATTTAGGCTCTAACCATATCCTTCCACCTCTTCTGCCACCACCCCGGTCCAAGTCAATCTAAGTCATCATCATGTTCCGCCTGGACTCTTTAATAGCCTCCTCAATAGTCTTGTTTCCAGCCCACTACTTTATTATTAAGAAAACAGAACGACCATTCCAAATCTAAGTCAGATTATGTCACATCTCTGCTCAGAAACTTCCAAAGCTTGCTATCTGACTCAAGCATAAAAGACAAAGTCCTTTCAATCTCCTAAAAAGCCCAACAACTGGTATCTTCTGTGACCATATCTCCTCCCATTTTACTCCTTGCTCATTTCACCCCAGCCACAAAGGACAGTACTCTGCCCCCGCCACCTCAGGCTAGCCTCATCACTTCAGGGCTTTTATAACCCTCCCCTCCTGAGAAAGTTCTCTTCTTCTCCTCCCACACCAATAATTTCTGAGCACTTTACTTCACCTTCACCAGATTTCTTCTCAAATGTCACCAATTAGTAAATCTTTCCTGACCACCCAATTTTAAAATGCACTCATGGCCCCTCACTTTCACTACCCCCATCTTCTTCTCTATCTTACAGTCCTCAATATCATATGACAATATTTTATTTATTTATTATCTGTCCACCTCCAAAAGAAGGTAATTACAT